GACAGTAGCAGGTAGAGGAGACAGTAGCAGGTAGAGGGGACAGTAGCAGGTAGAGGAGACAGCAGCAGGTAGAGGAGACAGTAGAAGGTAGAGGGGCCAGTAGCAGGTAGAGGAGACAGGTAGAGGGGACAGCAGCAGGTAGAGGAGACAGGTAGAGGAGAGAGCAGCAAGTAGAGGAGAGAGCAGCAGGTAGAGGAGACAGCAGCAGGAAGAGGAGACAGGTAGAAGAGACAGGTAGAGGAGACAGCAGCAGGTAGAGGAGACAGGTAGAGGAGACAGCAGCAGGAAGAGGAGACAGATAGAGGAGACAGGTAGAGGAGACAGGTAGAGGAGACAGGTAGAGGAGACAGTAGCAGGTAGAGGAGACAGCAACAGGTAGAGGAGACAGCAGCAGGTAGAGGAGACAGCAACAGGTAGAGGAGACAGCAGCAGGTAGAGGAGGCAGCAGCAGGTAGAGGAGACAGGTAGAGGAGACAGCAGCAGGTAGAGGAGACAGGTAGAGGAGACAGCAGCAGGTAGAGGAGACAGGTAGAGGAGACAGTAGCAGGTAGAGGAGACAGGTAGAGGAGACAGTAGCAGGTAGAGGAGACAGCAGCAGGTAGAGGAGACAGTAGCAGGTAGAGGAGAGAGAACAACCAACACTTCACACTACCGTTATTGAGGACGCGCTTGAAGGGACGGTGGTGTCTGGTGGGCCTGAACCAGGTCTTCCTCTGCGGGACGTACACGCTCAGGTCCCGCCAGGTGAGGGTGATGCCCTCCTCGCTGGTCTTCCACGTCCCGTACCCGAGCCCCGAGTGCTTGGCTAGCCCCAGTCGGTCGTCCTCATGCTGCGGGTTAAGGCCGCCGGTTAGTGCCTGGTTAAGGTGCCTCATCCACTGGTTACGACGCCTCATCCACTGGTTAAGTCGCCTCATCCACTGGTTAAGGCGCCCTCATCCACTGGTTAAGGTGCCTCATCCACTGGTTAAGGCGCCTCATCCACTGGTTACGGCGCCTCATCCACTGGTTAAGGTGCCTCATCCACTGGTTAAGGCGCCTCATCCACTGGTTAAGGCGCCTCATCCACTGGTTACGGCGCCTCATCCACTGGTTAAGGCGCCTCATCCACTGGTTACGGCGCCTCATCCACTGGTTAAGGCGCCTCATCCACTGGTTAATGGTTCATTTACTGGCGTCTGCTTTAATGTAAGATCTCATCAAACAGTGTTTTGTTTATAAGTGAACTGTATAGGCTGTGTACCGTGTACCACAGAGACTACACCGTGTACCACAGGGGCTACACCGTGTACCACAGAGGCTACACCGTGTACCACAAGGGCTACACCGTGTACCACAGAGGCTACACCGTGTACCACAGGGGCTACACCGTGTACCACAGGGGCTACACCGTGTACCACAGGGGCTACACCGTGTACCACAGGGGCTACACCGTGTACCACAGGGGCTACACCGTGTACCACAGGGGCTACACCGTGTACCACAGGGGCTACACCATGTACCACAGGAGCTACACCGTGTACCACAGGGGCTACACCGTGTACCACAGGGGACTCACGACTCAGGTACTCACCTCAAGGGGGTCGCTGGAGTAGGTGTTGGAGCCGGAGGAGTGGAAGATGTACCGCTCGGAGCCGAGCAGGGAGGACCGCTCGTCCTGCTGCTCCAGCGCCATCGTCGGCAGGTTCCTGAAGAAGGGAACACCCAGGGGGTTAGGGTTGCCGGCCATGCCAAACGCCTCCGTCGGCAGCGAGCGGTGACGGTGGCGGCGCTTGAGTGTGTCATCGCTGTCCAGGTCACTACTCAGGTCACTCATGGCCACCACTCTCACTCACCACCTAACTCAAACTCTCCCAAAAAATGGCGACTCTTCGAGATTAAACAAAGGAGGACGGTGGTGGTCGGAGTGTGATACTAGCGGAGAATGGTTGGCCAGGGCGGCCGGCGCAGGGTAGCGGCACACAGCAGAGGTGGAGGGTGGGTGTGGGGCGGTGACGCGCCAACTGGACGCTAACAGCAGTAGCGGCCAGTGGGGGGAGGACCTGGTAATGGGACACCGTGCGCGCGCGTGCCTGCCCATCGGTCTCTCCCTGGGGGCTGGCCTAGCCACCCCGGGGCCTGGCCTAGCCACCCCCGTGGCCTGGCCTAGCCACCCCCGGGCCTGGCCTAGCAACCCCGTGGCCTGGCCTAGCCACTGCGCCGTACGGACCCCTATAGTGACCCCTCCTTCACACTGCCACTGCCACCCGTGTGCCAGTGTCATGTCTCCCCTTACTCTTCTGATTTCAAGGGATGTGAGGTTCAGCTCCTTTAGCCTTTCCTCGTAGCTCATACCTCTCAGTTCCGGGACGAGCCTGGTGGCATACCGCTGATTCTTCTCAAAATTTGTCTTGTGTTTAACTAGGTATGAACTCTCACAGATTTAACAAATTCACAAAGACCGGAAAGTTGTAGCATTAAATATTATGACAGATATCGTGAGGAGACATTCACATATGGGACTAATAGAACAAGAACCCGGCAATGTGATGTTATAGTGGCCAGAATACGCCTGGGATATAGACGTATCTGGCAGCTTTCTCAAAACCCAAATGTCGAGTACACAATGTGTCAACTTTGTGAAAGAGAAGACATTCACTCTCTTGAACATTATATTGTAGAATGTCCCATATTGACTGTCTTTCGCCCTCCTGGGCTGAGGTATGCTGAACTGTGTAATTACTATATGAGTACTGGAACACTCGATGATATATTGGACTTGTACCCAAGATTAACCATGTAATGTATCAATTATACAATGTATGTATGTGATGTAACTATATAACCTGAGCTTGTAAAAGCACCTTCAGTGATTAAGTGCTTAATTGCACACTAGTTTCTCTATCAGCTATCTCACCCTGTCAGTGTAAAAGAGACAAATGTATGTGAATGCATGTGTGTGTGTGTGTGTATATATATGTATATGTACGTATATGTGTGTGTGTGTGTATGTATATGTGTGTGTATAAAGTATATATGGAAGCTGATCAGAATTATATCTCACCTTTGTAAATGCACATTAATGACACTATGTAAAAGACATATTGAACACTTTTTGTAGGGCATACGTAAATCTGTGTATCTATATATTTACGTATGTAGGTTAGCTTAGCATTTTAAAAGCACCGAATCACCTTCTGTGGTTGATTGTTCAATAAACCCTTGAACTATATGTTTAACACATCTCTAACCCTGTCCCATGGAGGACAGAAGAAAATGTATATATGCTGGTTAGCATTGTTAATGTGTGGCCACGTCTGTGGTAGAAAATAATAATAATAATTAAAAAATATTAACTCCAGGCTGGAGCTGCATATTCCAGGATTGGTCTGACATATGTGGTATACAGGGATCCTGAACGATTTCTTACACAAGTTTTCTAAAGGCAGTTCTTATGTTGGTCAATCTAGCATATGCCGCTGATGATATCCTTTTGATGTGGGCCTCTGGGGACAGGTTCGGTGTGATATCAACCCCCAGATCTTTCTCTCTATTTGACTCTTGCAGGATTTCACCTCCCAGATGGTACCTTGTGTTCAGCCTCCTGCTCCATTCACCTAATTTCATTAGGCAAAGGGAGCAGGTTCATGTAATTTCTTCAATTTCAATTTCAATGTGTGTTGGGGGAGGGGGGGGGGGGAGGGGAGGGGAGGGGAGAACGGGGGAGTCATGTGGGGGGAGGGGGGCAGTAGGTAATCCCAGCACAGGCAAGTTTCTTGTAAGATAACACGCCTCCTCCCCGCGCCCTCCCCGACCATACGTGATGCCTAGAGGAGATTGGCGTCATTGTACCCCACGAATCTAACTCATATGTAGCCTAGGTGTGTGTGTGTGTGTGTGTGTGTGTGTGTGTGTGTGTGTGTGTGTGTGTGTGTGTGTGTGTGTGTGTGTGTGTGTGTGTGTGTGTGTCCCCTGACACAGGGAGGCCGGACAATCTAGTCACCACTTGGTGGGCTTCAAGTCTCCCCCGTCACCATAACTCCTTGGCGTCACCCCAACACCAACCTCTTGAGTTAATTGACAGTTGAGAGGCAAGACCAAAGAGCTGAATCATAATCCTGTATCACCTCACCCCAAGCTAATATAAGCCTTGACATTGTATGCAAAAACTTGTGTTTGAAAATGTAAAAAGTGACTTGCGAAACGCTTCCCTAGGCCTCAGACCATAAATTAAGTGTGAAAATGAACTTTGGAGAGTTAATTTTTCAACTACCCCCGACAGTGAGGCCCGACAACTACCCCGAATATATATATATATATATATATATATATATATATATATATATATATATATATATATATATATATATATATATATATATATATATATATATATATATATATATATATATGTCGTACCTAGTAGCCAGAACGCACTTCTCAGCCTACTATGCAAGGCCCGATTTGCCTAATAAGCCAAGTTTTCATGAATTAATTGTTTTTCGACTGCCTAACCTACCTAACCTAACCTAACCTAGCTTTTTCGGCTACCTAACCTAACCTAACCCATAAAGATAGGTTAGGTTAGGTTAGGTAGGGTTGGTTAGGTTCGGTCATATATCTACGTTAATTTTAACTCCAATAAAAAAAATTGACTCTATACATAATGAAATGGGTAGCTTTATCATTTCATAAGAAAAAATTTGAGAAAATATATTAATTCAGGAAAACTTGGCTTATTAGGCAAATCTGGCCCTGAATTGTAGGCTGAGAAGTGCGTTCTGGCTACTAGGTACGACATATATATATATATATATATATATATATATATATATATGCGGAAAATCCACAGCGAAATATGAAAGGAGGTGAACGTTTCGGCTTTGTTAAAGCCTTTGTCAACACCAGACTGATGTCTGGTGTTGACAAAGGCTTTAACAAAGCCGAAACGTTCACCTCCTTTCATATTTCGCTGTGGATTTTCCGCATAAAATGATCAGTGTTTTGTGATCGTCAATTGCATATATATATATATATATATATATATATATATATATATATATATATGCAATTGACGATCACAAAACACTGATCATTTTATGCGGAAAATCCACAGCGAAATATGAAAGGAGGTGAACGTTTCGGCTTTGTTAAAGCCTTTGTCAACACCAGACATCAGTCTGGTGTTGACAAAGGCTTTAACAAAGCCGAAACGTTCACCTCCTTTCATATTTCGCTGTGGATTTTCCGCATATATATATATATATATATATATATATATATATATATGTCGTACCTAGTAGCCAGAACGCACTTCTCAGCCTACTATACAAGGCCCGATTTGCCTAATAAGCCAAGTTTTCATGAATTATTTGTTTTTCGACTACCTAACCTACCTAACCTTACCTAACCTAACTTTTTCGGCTACCTAACTTAACCTAACCTATAAAGATAGGTTAGGTTAGTTTAGGTAGGGTTGGTTAGGTTCGGTCATATATCTACGTTAATTTTAACTCCAATAAAAAAAAATTGACCTCATATAGAATGAAATGGGTAGCTTTATCATTTCATAAGAAAAAAATTAGAGAAAATATATTACTTCAGGAAAACTTGGCTTATTAGGCAAATCGGGCCTTGCATAGTAGGCTGAGAAGTGCGTTCTGGCTACTAGGTACGACATATATATATATATATATATATATATATATATATATATATATATATATATATATATATATATATATATACGTTTGTATGACATCAGACGTTATTTGTCCGGAGCATTCTACGTCAAATGTGACCAAATGTCTTACATCACATTTGTAACGACGTATTGGGTGAGGACGGGTTGTTGTGCGGGAGATTTGTTGACATTTGTTTACAGTGGGGCTGAGGGAGTCTTTCCTGGGAATGCTCTTGAAGATCCTCGTGGGAATGCTCTTGAAGATCCTGAAGACAAGCCTTTGCAAACACGAACCTCCCAAGACAAACAGCTGCCGAAAGGATCACTAAATTTTGCAAGAATATCAACAATACAAATTAAAAGAATATTTACAGCTACCCTCTCCCGTGAGAAAGTAAAATCCTTTATTTCAGGCTACAGGACTGGGCCTGAAATCTTCACGAGGATCTTCTGGAGGAGAGACATCCTCATTCCCGCTGTGAACAAATGTGAACAAATCTCCCGCACATAAACCCGTTCTCTCACCCAATAGTGTTTTCACACTAAGAGATGCTATACCGATGATGATACTTTTCAAAACGCTTGTGCTCTCTAGAGTGGAGTACTGCTGCACAATGACAGCCCCTTTCAAAACTGGAGAAATTGCTGACCTGGAGAGCGTGCAGAGATCCTTTACTGCTAGAATCCACTTAGTAAAACATCTAAACTATTGGGACCGACTAAAGAGCCTAAATCTGTACTCCCTTGAGCGCAGGCGGGAGAGATACATAATAATTTACACGTGGAAAGTATTAGAGGGGCTGGTCCCAAACCTGCACACAGCAATAACATCACATGAGACCAGAAGACATGGCAGGATGTGCAGAATACCCCCGTTGAAAAGCAGAGGTGCAACAGGTACTATGAGAGAGAACTCTATCAACATCAGAGGCCCGAGACTGTTCAACACGCTTCCGCTACACATAAGGGGCATAACTGGCAATCCCCTCACAGTGTTCAAGAGAGAACTGGATAAGCACCTCCAAAGGATACCTGATCAACCAGGCTGTGACTCATACGTCAGACTGCGAGCAGCCGCGTCCAACAGCCTGGTTGATCATTCCAGCATCCAGGAGGCCTGGTCGACGACCGAGCCGCGGGGACACTAAGCCCCGGAAGCACT